ACAATCTGATGAGGTATTTTGCACTGTAAAATCATCCTACCAATTTATTTCATACTGGTAGGACAATCTGATGAGGTATTTTGCACTGTAAAATCATCCTATCCGTTTATTTCATACTGGTAGGACAATCTGATGAGGTATTTTGCACTGTAAAATCATCCTATCCGTTTATTTCATACTGGTAGGACAATCTGATGAGATATTTGCACTGTAAAATCACCCTACCCGTTTATTTCATACTGGTAGGACAATCTGATGAGATATTTGCACTGTAAAATCACCCTACCATGGCCTAATAAGAATATGCCTCAAAGTTACACTGAAATATTTTATGTTGTCACAGACGCGAAGCAGAAACGCGCAGTAGGATTTTACGATGTGGTAGGATGAACCGATAGATATGGCTATAATTTTGCGCTACGGTAGGAAAAACTGACAAGGTAGGACAGATCGACAGAACACCGGAGCTTCCAAGTGCACTGACTCGCTTCTCATCGCTGTTTGCCTCATACTGTCCCCCCCAAAAAAGTGCTTCTCATGAGCACCGTGTTAGAATAAATAGTTAATGAATACTTATGAACCTATGAATTCTGTAAATAGTTGGAATACTATTTTTTTAATTTATTTATTTTTTATTTCGAGCAATATATAATTACACATGACAAGGCAATAAGAAGCATTTTGATTAATCTATACAAGCCTTTAAATTCATCATACTTTAATCAAACTTTAACAAATAATTCCATCTATTGCTCGAAACGGAGTGGGTAGAAGTCAAACTTATTTGAACCCACCCCGGTTACCATGGAAAAACGGTTAACAGGAAAAACAAAACAATGGTAGCTTCTTCCTTAAACATTATCATAACACTCAATTACATTTTTTTATATAAATAATTATAAGAAAAACATGAGAAAGGAAAGAAGGGGAACCGCTTCTCCCCCACCAAAAAGCAAAACAATACCAAAAAACACAACATATCCTAAATACACACCATATATGACCTTAGGTAACAATTATAATAATACCAACAATGGTAATCAAATACCTACAAGGTAAAATAAGACAAATTATGAATACATGGATAGATCTATGATAATACCAACACTGGTAATCAGAATACCTACAGGGTAATATAAACAGACTATGAATACAACACCACAAAATTAAACCATGCCCACCATGTAGTGTGACAAGACCTTCTGTTTATAGAGTACTTTAAATTGATGAATGCTTTGGCTTTGTTTGAGTTCAAGCCCCAAACTGTTCCACAGTTTAACCCCGCATACAGACACACAAACACTTCTCCTAGTAGTTCTGATCGCTGGTATTACAAAGTTCCCATAACTCCTCAAACTGTACGACTGCTCTCTCTGTGTAAATAACTTTTGTATGTTAGCAGGTAATAGGTTGTAAAATGCTTTAAATAAAATTTTTGCTGTATTAACTTTAACTATGTCCTGTATTTTTAATAATTTTGATTTAAGAAAAAGTGGATTTGTGTGTTCAAGATAATTAACCTTGTGTATAGTATGTATAGCCCTTTTTTGTCAAATAAATAGTGATTGTATTAAGTTATTATAGTTATTTCCCCATACAGTAAGTTAAGTACGGTAGAATTAGGGAACAATACAAGATACTTAGTGTATTCTCATCAAGTACCCGTTTGGCTTTATTTATTATCGCAAGGCTTTTGGAGACTTTGGTTTTTATATGTCTGATGTGAGTTTTCCAAGTTAGTTTGTTGTCTATTATAACTCCTACAATTTTTATTTCAGAGACATATTCAATTTGTATCCCATCTATCTCAATCATCTTATCCATTTTTTTCCTTATCATTACCAAATAATATAGCTTTAGTTTTATCTAAGTTTAAAGATAATTTATTACTGTCCATCCATTTTTTTTATATTCCTTACTTCCGTGTTTACAACATTAATAACCTTATCATAATTGTCATCACAATAGAAAATGTTAGTATCATCTGCAAACAAAACAAACTTGAGTAATTTAGAAACATTAAATATATCATTGATGTACAAGTTGAATAGTTTAGGGCCCAATAATGGCCCAATTTAGTACTGTTATTTATGTAAACTGTTTGATCTGTATGCTTCCTGTTATTTTAGCTTGTGATATTTACAATGTTCAGGTTTGGCTGTAATCATAATGCAAAAACTAACACTTCAAATCAATGTTTCTTGCAAAAAAAATATCTAAAACTTGACAAAAAGTAGTCTTTGAGATTGTTTAAATATGTATTAAAATCTTCCACCTAATAAAAATATGTAATTATTTTTTTAAACAACTAGGCAATTCACAAGCTGCTCTATAGAGAGCTATACTGGAACCTAGTGTTTGCACTATGACATTACATGTTTTTAGGTTTTAGAGTTTAAAGGTCTGGGGCCTCGTGTATAACCGCTGTGTCGCACAAAACAGGCCCTGAAAGAGGCGTACGCCACTTTCGACACATAAGTTGTGATTTATAAAAACAAACTTGACGGGAAAATTTGAGCCATGTGTACAAACATCTGGAGACGGAGCAGTTTGACGACACCAATGGTGAGTTTAGGGACAGATTAAGGAAAACCACTTTAAATCTTCATTTTAAATCCTAGTCATAAATACAGTGCATGTTCACAATAACAGTTTAAATAAATAAAATTATGATTTAAACTGTGTTATACATCTAATATACACCTTTAGATTAAATATGTCATTCTCCTTAATGGAGTTCAGCACTTAAACTACATGAAATCACTACCAAGAAGTTACAATATTTTTTTATATTGTAATAAATATAATTATTTGTAGTGGATACGATGCTTTTGAACACTTTTCCTGTGTCATGCTGTGTTTTAACTACAGCAAGGCTTGCTTTAGCGCATTAAAATATAAGAGAACCCATGGTCATGTGTTTTATACTATTTGATTTATTTATTCAAAAACAAGGCAAGGATAGGCTACTAAATTATTTTTAGTAGTGTAAAGTGACGGCACATCCGTATCTCATATTATCCTAATGTCTGGTACCGTTAAACATGGTATCACGTGGATGAATAATCATATGAAAATGAGGATATGCATAGTAAAACTAGGCGTTGTAATCTCCATAGATGGTTATTTCGGGGTGGAGACGCATGTGCGCACAATCTTCCGCTGACTGGGATTTATAAAGGGACGTCTGGATATGTTTTGCCGTACGCCATTTTTGGCTTTTGGGTTCAGGTACACTTTTAGTAAAGATCATACGCACAGTTTTATAAATGAGACCCCTTGTCTCTGTTTTAATCTGAAATACTGCATTAATTGAAAAAAAAAAAAAATTAAAAAATATGTTTTTTAAATTGTTTTCAATGAGGAAAAATAGACAATAATTATTGCCATAAGTTAATCTTAATTAATTACCGTAAAATTATCTCAAAATGATTTATTATTGAACTAAAATATTTTACATTCATTTTAAAGAAGAAAAAAGTTACATTTCAGGTATCTGGTCACTTTTGATCGTAAGGAACATGAGTGTGGTTCACAAATAAGGACGGCACAAGTGTTAAACTGTTCTGATGGCTGGATTATGTTTTTACACAATAAGGTTCTAATATTAATCAAACTGACTCCTGCTACTTGGTGCCGATAGCCTTGTGGACAGCTTGCTAATATACAGCACTGTTGTGCTTTGGGTGATCATAGTTCGATTCCCAGCTCGTGGACTTCTCCTGATCCCATCAGGAAAATGGGGGCGATTTCGAACACAGCAAAGCTCTTCCCATCTGATGAAGAATTTTTCGTCTTGGAGGAATCAATTGGGGCACAACCTCCAGCCTAAGGAGGAACATCTTCCCCCTATCCTATTCTCTTCATGTGTGTCTAAAGCTCTAGCTTTCCTGTAAAATAATTAGTGAATTAATTAAATGTGATTATTTTTTAGAAAAACTGCAGAGTTTTCAATGGATTGCAGCTGGAGTAAATTGTCTTTATTCACTCATTAGTGAGCGTTTCGAATCACTACATAGGAAGCAACTCACACTATTTATTCTTAAAAGTTCACAATTTTAGACATTGTATACCTTTTTTTTATATATATGTATTTTAGAATCAAATTAACTAAATATCCACTTAATATAAACACCCTAACTATGCATTTCAATACTGACACATACATATGAACACTGATTTATGAGTTCACACTCTCTATTTAACCCTTTTTATTTTACTCAATCACATTTTTCACTATTTGTATTTTTTTATGTAATTTAAATCTAGTATAAATGGTTATTACAGTTGGCCTTTTACGTAACATCTCACCATCTTTCATTAGTAGTTCTTAATATTTTCCACACAATATGTATTTATTAAATATTTATTTCTCCAAAAATTCAACACAAAATTTCTCTGACATGTATTTTACTAGTGGACTTTTGTGATTTGTGTGAGAACAGGACCTTTATTTTGGTCTGGTGATGTGACGTCATAAGTCTGCGCCGCAATCCTGCATCTGTTGTGATTTGACTGAAGAAGGTTTGTGTTTTAAACCATTTAAAGTGTTTCAATCAATTCAACCTGTTCATGTAATTTTAAAGCTTTTACAAACGATGTTAAATGGCTTATTTATTATTAAGTTCAACATAGTAATACTTTATCTAACTTTGTTTTGTGTGAGTAAAGCCAGGGTAACACAAAAAAATTGTAAGTGCTGATGAGAGAAACAGTTTAAACTCGAAAATCTGTGTTAATTAATGAACCAGTTATTTCTGAAAATGATTCAGTGATTCAAAGTGCTCCATTCAAAACAGTGTAATCTACAAATCATTTTAATACCAAATATAAACAATCAATATAATGTATGTTCTTTTATTAGTTTGAATTATTTTGTCTTAAACTAGAGCTGATTGAGATTTATTTTGAATTTATTTTTCTTTCTGTTAATTATTCTCTTCTTAAACACACAGAAAAACTCCTGGCGAAGTGACTAAAATCCACATGACTAACTATTATAAAGATGGCTTTTATTAAAGAGGAGAACGAAGACCTTAAGATTGATAAAACATTCAGTGTGAAACATGAAGATACTGAGGAACAAACAGGTTAGTGTCATTCTCAAAGCTGAACTCCGTCATTTGATCCTTATTAAAATATCCAGCTCTACAGAAATTAAAGATGTTTTTGACAAATATCATATATGAATGCCACATTAAATTGGTTATGTTTCACATGGAGCGGGACAGACATGTTCAGATCACATGACCAGACAAATACTAACAGTTTTTGTCACACATTAAATTTGAAAAATACAGATATAACCTAAACAAAACAATTGTGTAAAACAATATCTACTTCTGAACGGACAACAATGGAATCCATTGATTTATCACTTAATTGTGCGACCGTATTAAAGCAATCCATTAAATGTGACTCGTTGTATCAAACCGTGACTTTATTTCCAGAATGATTGAAAACACTTGCTCGTAAATGCTCTAATGCACTAATGTGTATTTAAATGTCTGAAACCTAAAATAAAGATTATGTGGTTGAAAACACTTAAAAGTTGTGATATATCGCGTCTGTCTCTGGCTCAGCATCAACCAAAGCACAAACACAGATTTGAGTTTAGCAGTTGATCACGTGACGCACTGAATGGTCTTGGCGTTTCAAGTCACGTAAACCAAGGGAAATCCGATTAGAGCGCTCAGACTGAAATGGATTTCCAGAAATACGAAACGGTTTTGCAAAAATTGCATTTTTTTTTTTTTTTCTTGTTAAATCTAATCGGATTTGCACAAAACACTAGCGTAGCAAGAAAAGAGTATCTGGGTGTGCATAAGAAAAACTGAGTGTGCCACATTTATTGGCAGATTAATGTGCAAAAAACCCTCACTAACTTTACAGAATAGACTGGGCTGATGTGTAAAGCTATACTTGGGCTCGCCACATAACCATAATACTATATTAAATATATCTCACTGCTTGACATTAAGTCTTTTCATTTGCTCGTCCATAATTGTTTAGTTTTTGTGTGTGTGTGTTGTAAATGTAATTTATTCTGAAGCAAGATTCTCATCAGTGTTCAGTCAGCTTTGACATATTTAAATCTGCATATTCATGATATTTGAACCTTTTTTTTGCCCTTGAGCATTTTTCTCTAATCGTTTTAAATATTGGCCTATGTTTCATCTTTCATTTTAAATTCTTAAATTTGATCAATGAATTAAATTAGAATAATAAGACATTATATGGCTGTTACCAGTCAAATTAATTAATTTACACTGCAAAATTACAACTGCATTAAATAATGTTATGAGATTGTTTTAAATATGTTTTTGAATATACAAATATGAAATATTGATAAGAATGATACTTTTATACGCGAAACTAAACCACCAGTAGGTGGCGGCAGGTGACCATCTTAATGAGTGAGTCATTGAGCCATTTAATCAAATGATTCGTTCAAACGCTCAATCATTCAGTATGAAAACACGGTTATCTGTTCCGGTGAGATGCGTTATGGTTCTGCTATGATCTTTGTTTGGAACTGTTTTTGCAGCTGAAATAAACAAAACAGTCAATATTGTGTCTAAAATGTAAGTGACTTAATATGAATTACTTGTTTATTGAACTGTCATATGAAATCAGTCACATTTTCAATTGTGATGGTATTCAGCACTCTTGGTCGTGTGATGTTGCTTAACTGTATCATATGTTATAAATATAAAAACTCCACATGAATGTTTAACGAGCTGCACTCATTTGTTTCCATTTCTCCTCATGAGGTGCGAACCTCAACACCACATCCTTGTTAGTCAGACAGTACAGTGGCTGTTTGCGGATTGGTTTGCAGATTTTTTTTTAAGGATAAACAATTTTTAAATGAACAAATATTGTAAGTAAAAAACAATAGCCCAAGTTTAGAAAAAGACTTTACAAAATAATTCTGCATCTATTTTGTGGCACAAAAATCGGACCGTGTAAACAGCTTCATTGATTATAACAGGAGTTTTCACAGGAGTGCAGAACAACATGAGTGACAGCTTCAGTGTTTATAAAGCGAGCGTTCTTTGCTGGCTTTACATTTATAAAACATTAATGTTCCACTAACTAGAAACTGCACGGTTTCTGGATTAACAGCCATATTTATATATGTTTGATTGAATCCAAAATAATAGCTAATCTGGAATAGTGATGACCACTGCAACAGATGGGACAAAACATGAATGGCTACTTTGTCAAAATATATTTGATTGTAAATGCAAACTAATAGGCCTTACAGAAAATACAGAAAACAGAAAATGTAAAGACAGAAAATACAGAAAATGTAAAAGACAGAAAATGTAAAGACATTGACACATACAATGAGCCAATATAAATACAATTTCACTCACCTAACCTATAGCTTGAAGCAATAATCCATCATTTGTCCTTTTGCCTATATCCAAATTAGGCATGGGGTTTCCCCTCATTTTTAATTTGTAGCTGCTGTTCTAATGGTACCACGGTAAATTTGTTGATCAAATATTAGAAATACCTCTAATCTTTATAATCAAGGTAGTTGCTAGATTATCAGCAGTAGCAGTTCAAACTAATATCACATAATTTCCGTCTATACGATGATTGATTGCTATACCATAAAGTGAAAAACTTGATGGTGATTGGCAATTTATTTTTATTTTTTTGACCAATGGAAGCAAAAGTCTCCGGATATGGATTTAACCTCCCCCTTCTCTATCCCCTCAGACTTACATTAGCAATTAATAGTTATTAGTAATTATTATATCAGATTCAGCACGTACGGTGAAGATCATCTGTGGTTTTTGACATCAGTAATATTTTATGGTGTTACAGTGGTGAAATCACAAACAAGAAATACACATTCTAAAACAATGAAATGAAAAAGGGAATTTTATTAACATTAAATTGTCCTCCCATTTTCACCTGGATTTTGGCTAGGCTGTGCCTCCCTTGATGAGACACCATTGGCAATAAGATCAGCCACAAAAATAACCGTCCACAGCTTTTCTTCGCATGCATATATTTAGTAAATCCTGACAGAATTCATCAATAACTTGATTGAAAACCACGCTAAAATGCATTTGTTTACAGAGACAGTGGGTCTCATAAGCATGCCTACGCACAACTGAAACCAGAAACAACTGAAACCAACTATGGACAGCCCTATGATCATGTTAAGAAGTTATATTTCATCCTAACATGATTATAATAGTAGCATCATGGTCTGGGGCTGCATGAGTGCTGCTGCTACTGGGGATCTGCGCTTCATTGAGGGAAACATGGATTCCAACATGTACTGCGACATTCTGAAGAAGAACATGATGTCCGCCCTTCAGAAACTGGGCCGAACGGCATGAAAACGACCCCAAACACACCACCAAGATGACGACTGTCTTGCCGAGGAAGCTGAAGGTGATGGAGTGGCCAAGTATGTCTCCAGACCTGAACCCTATTGAGCACCTGTGGTGATCTTCAAGCGGAAGGTGGAGAAGCTCCATGTGTCTAACATCCAGCAGCTTCGTGATGTCAATATGGAGGAGTGGAAGAGGATCCCAGCAACACCCTGTGCAGCTCTGGTGAACTCCATGCCCAGGAGGATTAAGGCAGTGGTAGATAACAATGGTGCTCACACAAAATATTGACTCTTTGGGCACAGTTTTGACATGTTCACTTAGGGTGTACTCATTTTTGTTGCCAGCTATTTTGACAATAATGGCTGTATGTTGAACAAAATTATAAACGCAACACTTTTGTTTTTGCCCCGATTTTTCATGAGCTGAACTAAGATCTAAGACTTTTTGTATGTACACAAAAGGCCTATTTCTCTCAAATATTGTTCGCAAATCTGTCTAAATCTGTGTTAGTGAGCACTTCTCCTTTGCCGAGATAATCCACCCACCTCACCGGTGTGGCATATCAAGATGCTGATTAGACAGCATGATTATTGCACAGGTGTGTCTTAGGCTGGCCACAATAAAAGGCCAAGAATGCCCTTAAATGGACATGGTTTGGGTGTATTTTCTTATTTGTACACACATTTGAATTTCTCACAAAATCTTTCTGCCTAATTCACAATATTCAAATGTTGATGAATTCTGAGTATTCTAAATGAGCGACCGCGTGCCTGAAGTAATTTATATCAACATTTGAATATTGTGAAATAGGCATAATGTTTTTGTGAAAATGCGTGTATAAATACAAATAGTGTATGCAATTATCAGTGAATTAGACCCAGTAAGTTTATTTAAAAGGAAGCAATAAACTTAATATAAAACTGATAATTTGTGGAATAACTTATAGAAAACTAATGATAATGTCTCAGGAGAATTATATACAAGGACAAACGAGATGACCTAATATTGAACCCTGTGGCACTCCATATTTGTCTTTGTTGAAACCTCGAGTTAACAATATTGATAATAGGCTATGAGTTAATTAATATGGGTAGGAGGTTGTTATTTTTGTTGTCTGTTACTTTGTGCTATTAATCTGATGTTTACTTTTTCCATCTTAGACATGATGACGCTGAAGAATGGTCAAGAACTGAATGAAACAGAAGAAAAAGATCAGTATGAGAAACATCAAGTTTTCATGATTAGACAAAAAACATTTAGTTGCTCACAGATAGAAAATAATTTGTCTCAAAAACCTGTTCAAAAGCCAGCAACTAGAAATTATTTCACCTGCCAACAGTGTGGAAAGAGTTTCAATCAAAATAGAAATCTGAAAGTCCACATGAAAATTCACTCTGGAGAGAAGCCTTTTGCCTGCCAACAGTGTGGAAAAAGCTTTACAAAAAAAGGAAGCCTTAATGTCCACATGAGAATTCACACTGGAGAGAAGCCTTTTGCCTGCCAACAGTGTGGACAAAGTTTCATTCGAAAAGCAAGTCTTAAATGCCACATGATAATTCACACTGGAGAGAAGCCAATCACATGCCCACAATGTAGACAGAGTTTTACACAAAAATCAACCCTTCATTGTCACATGAGAATTCACTCTGGAGAAAAGCCATTCGTATGTGGTCAATGTGGTGTGAGTTTCAGATTTGGAGCATCCCTTAATCGCCATATAAGAATTCACTCAAGAGAAAACAGTTTTATATGTCATCAGTGTGGAAGGAGTTTCACAGACAAGAAACACCTTAAGAATCATGTAAAAATTCACATCGGAGAGAAGCCTTTCATGTGCCATCACTGTGGAAAGACTTCCAAACAAAAAACAACCTTTGAGAATCACATGAGAACTCACACTGGAGAGAAGCCTTTCACATGCCCTCAGTGTGGAAAAGGTTTTGCACTTAAAGGAACCCTTGAGATTCATATTAGGATTCACACTGGAGAAAAGCCTTTCACGTGCCCTCAGTGTAAGAGGTGTTTCACATATCGAAAAGACCTGAAACGTCATTTGCAAACCCATTCTGAAATTAAATCACAAAGTTCTGGAGTGTGGCAAGAGGTTTACGAAAAGGAAAAAGAATAAATAAAAAGGAAGATTTAATTGTGATCAGTGTAATTAAAAATCTATTTAGCCATCACACTTACAGATGCATATGATAATTGTTTGTTGAAAGTTTTAAATTGCTCAGCAATTTAAAAAGCTCCAGAAAATATGTATCTGTAAATTCAAGGCTATGTTCACACCGCCGTTGAATGTGGCACAACTTTGATTTGTTTGCTTAAATAGTTGTTTATATGTCCTTTTAAATGTGGCCCATAACAGATGGCCACAAAAAGTCTGAAAAATTCATCACATCATGATTTGTCCATGTTCAATTACTTTATTAGCATTGACCTCTTTATACTTTTATATTTTCTTTTGTCATGTGAATATGAATGTGGCCATACCTCACCATAATTTTTTTGCTGTATAGAGTAATTTTTTTGATTAACTTGGAAATAATCGGTCAACCCGATTTGATTTGTAGGACTGAACCAGTGTTTAAGTCGGAATCAGTAAACAAATACTGTCATGTTCTCTTCTCCTATTTTTGTCACTTGCTCAGCAGTGAGGGTTTCACATGTAATAAATGCTGGGAAATAGGCTGTATAGAAATAGGCTAACAGGAATATTTCAGAATTAGAGACAAGCATCCAAACTTAAATCAAGGATAGTAAGGATACAATGGCTCTCGATACTGCTTTGGATGCGACTAGCCTTGCGAGCCCCGTACATTGTTCGGCTCCAGTAAAAAAAAAAAAAAAAAAAAAACGCAACTTGATCCTAAAGAATTAGGTAATTACAGACCGATTTCGAATCTACCTTTTCTGTCAAAAATACTAGAAAAGGGAGTATCCTCACAACTGTTTTCCTTTTTTCAGAATGAAATTGTAACTGCGAGGATTTCCAGTCGGGATTTAGACCGTATCATAGTACTGAGACAGCTCACATTAGAGTTACACATTGTGTAACGTGTAACATATGCACGTTGTTCTGCATTGAGAGTGTTTGGAAGAAAATCAATAATTCTAAAAATTACAAAACAAAACAAGCATCTTCTCCCCAGGGTTCATACACCTTTTCCAAGGTAAATTTCAAGCACTTTGAAGGTCCATTTTAAAGCTTTTTCCAGCACCTTACACCACCGTAAATTAAAAACACTAAATAATAATTTCGACTATGTATGTATCACATTAAAAGAGATCATGCTATAAACAGCCAAAATTGTGTTTCGTATTAGCAGAAGGATCAGATATTTAAGCAAATCACAAGTTTTATTTTTCAGTATGTATCAAAGTCTAAGTAGACTTTACTTACCATCTAACCTGCCTGAGTCAATGTAAAAACAATTACCCCAAACAAAATCACTCGACAGGTTCACTTCACTTTCAATTCATTTATTGAAAATATAAAAAATGCAAACATTCGTCTTTAAGGTAGACAGTCAATCAGATTCAGCTCATTGACCTTTTTTAACAATATTGTGCAAATCAAAACAACTTGAGTTGTGCTACATGTACTTTATGTAGCACAAAAGTTCTACATGTGCTTTATAAAGATTAGGCCAAAAGTTGCATTGTATGTATATATTGTCTATAACCTCAAAGTGCATATTTAACTTAATTTAATTTAACATAATCAACTCAACAAGATGTGTAAATGTAAACAAATCAACTTAAAGTTGACTTCAATGGACTTTATCCACTCCTGTTGAAAAAAGCAACAAAAAATACACCAAACAACACAACATACTGCAAAACTAAACAAATCAACTTAAAGGGTTAGTTCACCCCAAAATGAAAATTCTGTCAGTAATTACTCACCCTCATGTTGTTCCAACCCCGAAAGACTTTCGTTCATCTTCGGAACAGAAATTAAGATATTTTTTATGAAATGTGAGAGCTGGATCACTCCTCCATAGGCTTCTAAGGGATCGAAACTGACCGGCCCAGAAAGGTTAAAGACAAAGTTAAAATAGTCCAAGTGACCACAGTGGCTCTATCTTTAAGTTTATAAAGCGCAAAAAATACTTTTTGTGCGCAAAAAACAAACAAAAATAACGACTTTATTTAACTATTCATTTCCTTCTCTGTGGGCCTCGAGATTTTACGTAGTGTAACTGCGCAGCGCTTCTAGGTTGTACGTCACACGCATCACACACATGACCAGCGTCGACCATTAGTGACAACACAGAAGCGTTGCGCTAGCCTGGGAAAACACAGACAACTTCATTATTTAGTAAAATATTTTTTCCACAAACGTTTTTTTTATCATAGAGAATGTTTAAATACTAATATCAGCTTACGAGGGAAACGGAGGCGGAGATAGTGGTGCTTCGGAGGTTGCTACTGCTGGAGATGATTCGGGAGAGGTCTGTGCAACCCCCCCTCCCAGGAAGAGAAATCTTGGAGATCTCCTTAATAAACGCAGGTCTGAAATCTCTGACCATTTACCGATCAGAGCGTGCGATGACAGGGAGTAAAGCCTTGTTTATACTCGACGCGTCCGCACGAGCGTGAAGCTGAGCGCGGCAAAAATGACGCGTTCGGTGCGCAAGACCCCATTTCGCTTGGCTGTGTCCACAGCTTTTTTTGTAATAGCACGCGCGGCGCCACGTCCGAGGATGACCGACTTCAAGCCGAATCTGCCCAGTTTGCCACGTCTACATTCATTGCAAAGTTTTTTTTGTTAAGGTTTTGTCTACTGTGTGTGATTTATTTAATGGAAAGCACATTGACTTCTAGTTGTCTTGCTGTTAATTTTAAATAAACGTAGAGCAAGTAGCTAATCAGTGTGCTCGTTTATTCAAACTAAGTTGTTCTATAACAGACGATCGTCGCTCTGCATACGTCATCTCCTTCATCGCTCTGATTGGTTTTAGGTCTATCCAATTGAGCTCAGAGGCATTTGAGCTACGTCCGTTGGTGACGCCCCTTTGGAAATGATTTGTCTATGAAGCTTTGCCAGACCATAACTCAGTTACAACTGAGAATGGTCTGGTTTTAACCAGGCTAGCATTGCGCAGTTACACTACGTGAATCTCGAGGCCCACAGTGAAGGAAATGAATAGTTGACCACAATATGCCTGGTGTAAAAAAATAAATAATTCCATCGATACAAGGATGCCGTTTGACCGGATTCTTCTAAAATGGCTGACCCAAGTTTGCATGCAAGTGATTTAAATATTTAGGACATTTTTACATACTTGACCTGTGTAACATAGATAAGGTAACACCGACAACTCTTGATGTTATAAACTAAAAATAGCTAGACACGTGCATTTTATTCTCCATGTTAACGTTAACATATTAACGTTTTCCTTCAGGCCAGTTTGGTCCGTTGCTTTCTCACAACATGCTACTTCTTGCTTAATGGCGATATACTGTAAGAGTCACATTTGTTAATATGTTTAATACATTTATGAATTATTTACACTTTGTACGTTTCTAGCTATTTTTAGTTTATAACATTAAGAGTTGTCAGTGTTACCTTATCATTTGTCGACATAGAAATGAGAGAGAATTACTCTATTCAAAACATGCAGCATGACAATACATTTGGCCTGAACCCAGTGCTACATTTGAATACAAGTGCAAGCAAACTTCAAGTCACTATCAAAAGGAACTACTGTAATCATAAAGTCAATATAAGAACAAGAGAAAGTCACCAATTTAACATTCCTGAACAGAGCTGATAAGAGGGACTAAATGTCCAAACAACATTTAGGACTAGCAGGGGATTTACCTTTGAACAAACTCAATGTCTTTGCAGCTTCTTCTTGGTACTGCAAATGAAAGACATAGTAGGTGGCAAAAACTGCAGCAAGGCCATTGATGAAGGTCTATTGGATGCCTTCACAGATGACGTTGTTTTCCACACTGATCATCCAACCTCACTGTAAAAAGTAATTGCTGATTCTACTTAAGAAAAACTAGTGAATTTAACTTTATTTGGAAACTTAGTTGATTTAACTTAATTACACTGTGTACTGTGAACTTTTAGGTGGATGCAATAGTTAAACTAAACAAATCTAGTACATTGTACTTAAGATTGGTAAGTGTATTGTGTATTGGTAAGTGTAAGGCATGTTCACACTGTTGCAAATTTCTGGAGCACAGAATTTGCGTAATAATAATAATGAAATGAATAACATTTTTAGTAAATACCATACAATTAGAAACGGTTTGATAATAGCTATAGCTATATATAGCCAGGGGCGATTCTAGGGTCAGAGCTTTAGGGGTGCTGAGCACCCAATGAGCCCCACTGCCACCATCCATATTTTACACCCATATGTTGCACTCCCTCTGTCTCTTCATTTCTTTCACTAGTCAATTCCCTCTCATCCCTTATGGACTCTCCCTGTTGTTTTCCTCCTCCTTTAATATGAAAAAATGTGGTGTAAAATAATGTTACAAAAAGTAAATGTAATAGGCTACTTAATGCCAATAAGCTAGTATAGGAGTATGAGTAGTTACTGTTTTGCTTGCCACTATTAACTGTCAATTTATTGTTGTTTCATCACCTGGTTCTTCCTGCATGCTCTCCCTTTCCCTTTCTCCTTCTCCATCTCCCTCTCTTTCCCTTTCTCCTTCTCCATCTCCCTCTCTTTCCCTTGCCACTGACGATCATACACAAATATATTGTAGGCAGGAGAGTTGAGGTCAGTTTGTCATGTCACAAAAATGTTATGGAGATCATTTACATTTTCTAAGGATAGCAAAAGACACACAGAGGCGTGTCATTTTAAATGTCATTATTATTATTATATAGAAAAAATGCGGACTGCAGCTTTAAAATGAGTATCAAATTAACGATAAACTTTAACAACAGAGACACACGTACGCACTACTCAGGTTATGCAGTTTGTTTGTCGCGCTGCTGTTTTTGTTTCACGCTCTAGCAGTTAATAAACAGAACTGCATGCGTCTTGCGGAAAAATAGTTAGAAAATAAACTCTTATTATAGGTGTACCATGGTGATTCAGAATACTGACTCCAGTACTCACCGATATGGTTTCGGAATTGGAACAACTCTAGCTAAAAGGAAAGAAGTGTGAGACAGCTTTGGAGCATCTTAGTTGATTCACAACACTACATAACGGGTTCTCATATCTCTGCGTGTGTTTCGCGCTGGATGACGGTCGTGCTGAGCGGTGCAGGTACAGAGGAGAAGTAGAAGAAGAGAAGGGGATGTTTTCATTTTCATCCTTAACACACATTTTAAACCACAAACTACGGAGTATGTTTTGGACATTATTTAACCTAGTCAAAGACGAACAAAAATTTTAGAATAACATTGGTTAGGATATGGACTGCATAAAGTCTTAGTCTTGCTGGAAATGCGTATAAATCTTAGCATTTAAATGTTAATAAGTGCTATTATTAGCTAATAGCTAGCTATAGTCTAGAAATCCTACATATTTTTATTTATCAGTGCAGTTTAAAAAAAAACTAAAGCATGTTCACTAAACTTAATGTCACTTCGGACATCAGGATGCCGAAACAGCTTATCAGACATTTATGAATATATTTTTATCTTTGTTTAATAAATGTTTTCCTTTGGTACAAAGTAGAAGTAAAAACAGAAATATTTCTAAACCATGGTTTACACCTGCATTAAGAAAATCCTCCATTATTAAAAATAAGTTGTATAAAAAGTCTCTCATTAGCCCCACACCGTTAAATATTGCGTACTATAAAAAATATTAAAAACAAATTCAGCAAAGTTCTAAAAGTTGCCAAGAAAAAATATTTTTCTGAGAAGTTGGGAAATTCTTGTGAAAATATAAAAAAGACCTGGAATGTTATAAATGAATTATTAAATAAAAAACAAACAACTCGAGGAATTATCCGATGGTATAGAGAATTATCAAAACCCCATCGATATAGCAAACGGTTTCAATGATTTCTTTGTGAATGTTGGTCCCTCACTGGCAAAAAATATTACGAATACAGGAAAATTTACTTCTCAAATTTTTGATTTGCCATATCCTTGCTTAAATGAATTTGATCCTCCAACTTCTAATGAAGTGCTTGAAATTATATTAAAGATGAAGGACACAGCTCCAGGACATGATGAAATTAGAGCTAGTCTCATAAAGAAAGTAGTTTGCTCTATTATTGAGCCTGTAACTTATGTCCTCTCTTTGTCACTTAAAACAGGTGTTGTACCAAGAGATTTCAAATTAGCTAAAGTAATTCCCTTGTTTAAGTCTGGGAATTCACATGTATTTAACAATTATCGACCTATTTCACTATTACCTTTCTTTTCTAAAATACTCGAAAAATTAGTTTATAAAAGGATATTAAAACACTTGACAGAAAATTTGATCTTATATGATCACCAGTATGGTTTCAGAGAGAACATGTCTACAGAAATGGCTCTTTTACAGTTTGTCGATAAAAAAAAAAAAAAAATATGCATGACAATAATAACACTTTTGGTATATTTGTAGACTTGTCGAAAGCATTCGACACTGTAAATCATAATATTCTTTTAGAAAATTAGAAAATTATGGCATTAAACATATAGCCTTAACTTGGGTACAAAACTATTTGGAAGAGAGAGAGCAATTTGTTAATGTTAACAATCTGAGCTCAAATAGGAGACAACTTTTATGTGGGGTACCGCAGGAGTCCATTTTGGGACCTCTATTATTTCTAATTTATATCAATGATTTAAGAGTTGTATGTAAAAATGTTATGCCACTCATGTTTGCAGATGATACATGTCTTCTATTATCTCATTCTAACATTGACACATTAATAAGAGAAGCAAATGAAGAATTACAAAATATTTCTAAATGGTTTAAAGTTAATCAACTCTCTCTTAATATACAAAAAAACCCTAATTTTATGATTTTTAGTAAAAAAAAAACAAAGGATATTGCCAGGACATAGAGGTATCAATTGATGGTTTAAAAATTAGCCAAGTGAACCAAATAAAAAATTTAGGTGTCATTGTCGACCAAAAACTAACCTGGAAATATCATATTCAACATGTTTGCAGAAAAATAATGAAATCTGTTGGTATATTGAGTAGAGTTCGCTCTTTAATTGATATTTCATGTATGAAAACATTATATTACAGTTCAATCTATCCCCACATTTTGTACTGTAATATTATTTGGGGTGCAACATGCAAAACATATTTAAATAAGATGTTATTAATACAAAAGAAATTCTTGAGAATTATGAGTAATTCCAATAGATTGTCATCATCTGTTCCGCTATTCATAAAATATAACATCTTGACAATATTTAATGTTAACATCTATTGCATAAATATTTTTATGTATAAGTATGTGAATATGACAAATATTATGCCCAGAGCTTTTAATGATTTTTTCACGTATTCTTCGGATGTTCATGCCTATTCCACAAGGCGTTGTAAAGATTTTTATCTTCCTTTTTGTAGAACTACAGCTAATCAATCTACACTGAAATACAGAGGGCCTTCCCTCTGGAATCATTTACACCCCGTTTTTAAGACTAAAATCACTCTAAACTCTTTCAAAAGAGAGCTGAAATTTTTTTTAACATATAATTAAGTTTATCTTGTTAATTTGTTATATTAAAATGATTGATGTATTGATTGTATTGTCTTGCTTAATCATGTAATTTTATGTTCATTTAATGAGATTTTGGGGAGGTGGTTTTATAAGACCTCATGGTCTTCTCACTCTCTCCCGCACGGTATGTTTTTTCTTTCTGTTTTTTCCCGTTAATGGATTTGTAAAGTTGTATTTTAAATGTTATATGTGCAAATAAACCTTCAACTTTCAACTTAACCGATTTAAGTTACAGGGAAGCAATTCCATTGATTTGTTTGGACATTACTATTTCACATAGATTCTCTCTCATTCAGTTGTGTTGTCACAACACAAGGAGCTTACATAGATTCAAAATAATTTGATTGTGTGGAACCACTGTCCATAATTTTATTAAGTTAGTTTTAAGAGTAATTTCTTTGAGTGCAGGAGCTCCCGTCTCAGAGGCTCAGGAATCTTTAGCCTTTGCCTCTTTGAGATATTGTCAGGCAGTGTTCCCTGAAGAGAAGCTTCCGGCTTCCGGTGCAGTAGCTCTCGTCTCAGTGGCTCAGGAATCTTTAGCCTTTGCCTCTTTGAGATATTGTCAGGCAGTGTTCCCTGAAGAGAAGCTTCCGGCTTCCGGTGCAGTAGCTCTCGTCTCAGAGGCTCAGGAATCTTTAGCCTTTGCCTCTTTGAGATATTGTCAGGCAGTGTTCCCTGAAGAGAAGCTTCCGGCTTCCGGTGCAGTAGCTCTCGTCTCAGTGGCTCAGGAATCTTTAGCCTTTGCCTCTTTGAGATATTGTCAGGCAGTGTTCCCTGAAGAGAAGCTTCCGGCTTCCGGTGCAGTAGCTCTCGTCTCAGAGGCTCAGGAATCTTTAGCCTTTGCCTCTTTGAGATATTGTCAGGCAGTGTTCCCTGAAGAGAAGCTTCCGGCTTCCGGTGCAGTAGCTCTCGTCTCAGTGCTCAGGGACCTCTAGTTTTTCCCTATTTGAAGTCTTGTCAGGAATGGGTGCTCCTTGAGGAGAATAAGCTTGAGGACTCTGCTGCAGCAGCTCCTCTCTCAGAGGCTCAGGGATATTTAGCCTTGGCCTTTTTGATATGTTGTCAGGCAGTGTTCCTTGAAGAGAAGGACTTTGAGGCTTCTGCTGCTGCAGCCGCTCCTGCTTAAGAGGCTCAGAGAAATTTAGCTTCCGCCAATCTTGAGACTTGGGGACAGGTGGCCCCTGTGGAAACCCAGTGGGCACAGGTGCTTTCTGTCGGGACTCGGCAGGCAGTGTTCCCTGAAGAGAGGGACTTTGAGGTTTCTGCTGCTGCAGCCGCTACTGCTTAAGAGGCTCAGAGAAATTTAGCTTTCGCCAATCTTGAGACTTGGGCACAGGTGCTTTCTGTGGGGACTCGACAGCCACTGGTGCTTCCTGTGGCTTTTTCGGCCTCCACTTTCTCTGCTGTTCCGTGGTTTTTAGTGTTGCATCTGAGTTCAGGTCTTTCTCAGATGCATCAGTGAAGAACAAGGCTGAAGCGAGGCCCCCCTTCTTAGAACTGGCATGCACAGGTGCTCCCTGTTGGGACTCTGTGGGCACAGGTGCTCCCTGTATAGACCTGGCAGGCATGGGTGGTCCCTGAGGAGGAGAAGCTTGAGGCCTCTGCTGCAGCAGCTCCCCTCTCAGAGGCTCAGGGATCTTTAGCCTTGGCCCCTTTGATATGTTGTCAGGCTGTGTTCCCTGAAGAGAAGGACTTTGAGGCTTCTGCTGCTGCAGCCGCTACTGCTTAAGAGGCTCAGAGAAATTTAGCTTTCGCCAATCTTGAGACTTGGGGACATGTGGTCCCTGTGGAAACCCAGTGGGCACAGGTGCTTTCTGTGGGGACTCGGCAGGCAGTGTTCCCTGAAGAGAAGGACTTTGAGGCTTCTGCTGCTGCAGCCACTCCTGCTTAAGAGGCTCAGAAATTTAGCTTTCGCCAATCTTGAGACTTGGGCACAGGTGCTTTCTGTGGGGACTCGACAGCCACTGGTGCTTCCTGTGGCTTTTTCGGCCTCCACTTTCTCTGCTGTTCCGTGGGTTTTAGTGTTGCATCTGAGTTCAGGTCTTTCTCAGATGCATCAGTGAAGAACAAGGCTGAAGCGAGGCCCCCCTTCTTAGAACTGGCATGCACAGGTGCTCCCTGTTGGGACTCTGTGGGCACAGGTGCTCCCTGTATAGACCTGGCAGGCATGGGTGGTCCCTGAGGAGGAGAAGCTTGAGGCCTCTGCTGCAGCAGCTCCCCTCTCAGAGGCTCAGGGATCTTTAGCCTTGGCCCCTTTGATATGTTGTCAGGTTGTGTTCCCTGAAGAGAAGGACTTTGAGGCTTCTGCTGCTGCAGCCGCTACTGCTTAAGAGGCTCAGAGAAATTTAGCTTTCGCCAATCTTGAGACTTGGGGACAGGTGGTCCCTGTGGAAACCCAGTGGGCACAGGTGCTTTCTGTGGGGACTCGGCAGGCAGTGTTCCCTGAAGAGAAGGACTTTGAGGCTTCTGCTGCTGCAGCCACTCCTGCTTAAGAGGCTCAGAGAAATTTAGCTTTCGCCAATCTTGAGACTTGGGCACAGGTGCTTTCTGTGGGGACTCGACAGCCACTGGTGCTTCCTGTGGCTTTTTCGGCCTCCACTTTCTCTGCTGTTCCGTGGTTTTTAGTGTTGCATCTGAGTTCAGGTCTTTCTCAGATGCATCAGTGAAGAACAAGGCTGAAGCGAGGCCCCCCTTCTTAGAACTGGCATGCACAGGTGCTCCCTGTTGGGACTCTGTGGGGACAGGTGCTCCCTTTATAGACCTGGCAGGCATGGGTGGCCCCTGAGGAGGAGAAGCTTAAGGCCTCTGCTGCAGCAGCTCCCCTCTCAGAGGCTCAGGGATCTTTAGCCTTGGCCCCTTTGATATGTTGTCAGGCTGTGTTCCCTGAAGAGAAGGACTTTGAGGCTTCTGCTGCTGCAGCCGCTACTGCTTAAGAGGCTCAGAGAAATTTAGCTTTCGCCAATCTTGAGACTTGGGCACAGGTGGCCCCTGTGGAAACCCAGTGGGCACAGGTGCTTTCTGTGGGGACTCTGCAGCCACTGGTGCTTCCTGTGGCTTTTTCTGCCTCCACTTTCTCTGCTGTTCTGTGGATTTCAGTGTTTTATCTGAGTTCAGGGCCTTCTCAGATGCATCATTGAAGGCCAGGGATGAGGTGAGGTTCAACTTTTTAGAACTGGCATGCACAGGTGATTCCTGTTGGGACCTGGTGGGCACAGGTGCTCCCTGTGTCTTGTTCTGCCTCCACTGCTTCGTGGACTTCAAGGATGTGGGGCATGGTGTTTCTACTGCCTCAACTGTTCCCCACCACAGTCCTGAGGTGAGGTCCCCATACTCAGGCTCCTCAGAGATAGGACTTGAAACCTCCATGATTGCCCACCATTCCCCTGCTGCAAGGGCCATGGCGAACTCATCTGAGAGTTCAGGACACAAGGACTGCTCTGCACTCTCAGGAAAACCGATGGGAAAGGTTGTCATACTCATATTTTGGATTTGATAATGATCTAAAGAACTGAACAATACTGCTTTGTGCAATCTGTAGGCTATCTACCGTATATATATCTGTAAAAGGAAAGACAGAGAAATGGAATAGATGAGTTGAGTAAACACATACGAACCTGGAAGCTGATTGTCGTAGTTATCAAAATACTCGAAAAAAATGTATTTTCTACAGTGTATGCCCTTGGGCCATGGCCCTCCATCAGAAGAGGCAAGAGTCCAGTCTAAGAGCCTCCTTAAAATCTATTCAAAATGAACAATTAAGCTGAAAAAGTTTAGTTATATTTTTTATCAATTTAACTATGTTTAATGTGGACAACTAAGATGCATATAATGTAAATATATATATTTTTCTATCATGCCTGGTAATCAAGTCAAATTTTATTTACTGCACAAATAGAAGACGATGACAGCAATAAAGGCTTAATTAAACAAACCAATGAGAATAAATATCCAAATGGACATTTGTCTGTCCAAATTTGCCATTAAAAGGCATTAGGAGGCTAAATGAAAATTACCTCCTTTAACATATAATCAGTTATAGTCAGAGATACAGAGATATAACCATAACGTTAAGGCCAATACACTTTCATTGTCTGTTCAATGTGTCATCACATCTGCTATTGGTTGGTCAAAGAATGTAACGGATCTCAAAGCAAGAGAGATTGAAAAACAGGTTCATATACGAATTTATCATATTAAAGGAGTGGTGGAGTTCCTCGCAAAGACAAGATAACGTCTATGGAGCTCTCCATTTATGAATACATTTTTAAAATGGTCAGTCTGTATTTGTTGATTTAATGTGTTGTGTTGATTGAGAGAATAATGTGTCATTAAATATCAAATATAGGAAATTACCACTGTATACCTATTCATGTATCTGCATTGAGTCAATAACATATTGTTTAAGTAGATTCTAATCTGAGTAATACAAATATTAAAATTCAAATCTCCAAACCCTGAATAAAAAGCGTACTCACGATCACTCGCCGACTCGCTACAAAATGCAAGACACCTCTGCACTCAATTGTTCTCAACAAACGTTCTATGACATCACAATGGAGCACGGCGCTCAATAAACTCAAGTGTTCGTGAGTGCCGGGAAATCTATGCTGTTTCGTTAGATTAAAACTGGACATGCAATATAAATACAAAGAGTGATTAAGCATATTTAATCCATGATTGTTCATAAACATAATTTACCGTTACTGAAGTTTATGACAATTTTTCTTATAGGTGCTATATGCTGAATAATTCTCAAAATTAACAGCTTATTATTTCTTTCTTTATATATATATATGTGTGTGTGTGTGTGTGTGTGTGTGTGTGTGTGTGTGTCCTTTGATAAGTTGCATAATTATTATCTCTATCAGTTTTCTTATGTATTTCTGTGGTTTTCATGCGTTTATGCTTTAAGAGATTATTTTCAGATTTATATTCGATTTATGATTATTTTATTATCATTACTGTTTTCATCTAAATACTTGTTGCAAATATTTTGGGTTGTATAATACGCGTTGCTAAGTGCTATCAAAGTGTCGCGTCGCGCCAGAGCGATTGAGTGCACGCACTGAGACGAGAGAGGTATGTATCAACTCGTCTTAGTTACGGGAATAACATAGTTTAATATGAAAAAACGGTGGAGTGTTCCTTTAAGAGAACTCTAAAGAAAATTGTTCAGTACTGTTTCACAGATACTTCAGTGTTTTCCATTTGTTGAAAAAAGAAAAAAAATATCCATATTTAACAGGATGTTTTGAATTTCAAGTTTACTTGTTTGGTTTTAGAACAGAGTTTTATAAGAAGAGAATTTTAAAGAGAACTGTAGTAGGAAAGGCATTCTGTAACAAACTCTGTAACTTACACGCTCTGCTTTCAACCACTTTGTAAAGATGTTAAAAACAAAGAAACATTGATGTTTTTATTGTCTTTAGTTTTTTGTTTTTTCTTGAGTGCATTATGTGCTTTATTTCTAAAATGTTGTTGGCGGGCCAGTAATGTTTTAACATTATTATTGTTGAACAAATAAACATTCTAGTGTTTTGACAAATGTGTTGTCTGTCTTTGTATTCTCAACTTAGAATTTTGAGTACAACTTGCTTGAGAAATTTAAGGCAATCAGTTTCCACACATTCCTCTAGTAAAATGAACAAGCAGACATGTTAAATTAACTGGTTTGTTTAAGTTCTGCTTACAAATCTCAACTTAAATCTGTAAGTTGCTTAAACTTGAGTTTATTAAGTTACCTATACTCAGGTTTTATGGTAACCTCTACAAATACACAAGTTAACTCTACAAAGAAGTAGAGAGTAGTATCAAGTCAAAAATTATGACCTAATTTGCTTGAAAAATTTGCAATCAGTTTCCACAGCTTTTCTTAGTAAAGTCAACTTATTACTTTTTACAGTGTACAGTGACTTCATCACCAGCAATTGATTCAAATATAGCTAATGTCCCGAAACAGTATCAAATATGGGTATGAGTGCCCTATCCATGCATTTTCAAGGTACGGGCTAAAACACACACGATTAAATTGAGCAGTATATTTTTTCTCTATTTACACTGAGTATCATAAGTAATAATGCTGCAAATCAATACTTTCCCAATGACCTGGGAAGGCTAAAACAACAAGTTACACCTAAGAGCACAACAAAATCAAAGTTTAGATGAGCAACTGACTGTCCTATCTTATCATTGTAGTCTCCTACGATAAATTCAGTTCCCTTCTCTACCACAACAGATGGTGGGAATAGGGTCCCAGTACTCAGAAAAGATTGCAACAGTTGATGTCTTTCAGCAAGGGATAAGCAGAGGTTTTTAAAGTTATGGAGCTTTCTTGCACATTGCTTGAAGTAACCATGCTTACTTTCATATCTTAATGTTCATAGACGGATGAGTGGCCTAAAGTGACCAATGAGTTCCGGATAATGATTGAGGTAGTGGTTCTTAGGCTTAAGCATATGATCCCCAAAAGTCTGCATTCTGATATGTAAATATTCATCTATCAGAACTCTTAAATATGCTACCTGGCCTGTGGAAATGGTTGGCGCACAAACAAGCTCAACAATCTCTCTCAGCTGTAAGATAAGCTGCCATACCTCACTCTCTCCAGGGCTTTTTATTTTATTACCAATCAATATTGGCAACATTCGCAGGAAACACCAATTCTTAACTGCATGTCCAGAGAGTTTTCCAGCCCCAGGGTTCACCTCACAAGGTTTGTTGTTGGCATCATTACCCAGGTATTTAAATTGGTCTATACGCCGATTCAATTCAACGTAAGTGAATGTTTTCCCTTTTGAAACAAGGTGGCTGAGGTATAATGCCAAATCGGTTGAGACAATACCCTCAAAAAGGTCATGTCCAAGACAAGGAGGTAATCCAGGCTGGCATACATGAAAATATGTGAGCTCATTGAAAATGGAGGTAAATTTAATGCCTCCAGAGTCCCTTGATTACACAGTACGACTCAGAGCCTCAATGTGTTTCTGATATGACTGTGGTGTGCGGTCAGGTCCCTTAGCCAAAGGATCGGCCAGAAATGTTTTCCGATCAATTGCACAGTATCTGCAAAAATGTGAACTCTTGCTTAAATTTTCAGTGAAGCCCCCAATGTTGTGTGAACCCAAATTGTAACCTGCTATGGCATACAATGTTCCCTTGCAGAGCTGGCCATCTGGCAAAGTTACTCCATTCAACTCAAGATCTTTTAAATCATTCATAAGAGTGCCAAACATAAGATCCTGTCCAAAATGCTTATAGTCTTGTTCTCAACAAAGTATCACAAGCTGCATCTGATCAATACTCAATCTATTGTGTGGCAAAATATTTGCAAGGGTCAGATACATGGCCAAAATCTTGTGGTTTTTCCTCCCTGACCCTAGGGGATTTACGACTTCAAACGAATCCTGATACAGGATTATGCCTATTGTAGAGGCTGTATGCTTAAGCAGCAAGTTGTTTTTAATATTTATACCATCCCACAAATCCTGAAAAACATTATCAGGCTCGACTCTAGTTCTTATTTGCTGCAATTGCTCCCTTACTGACTCTGAGGACAAGAGAGAAGCTATTGTCTTTTTCACCGGCACATATTGTGCAAAACATTCTTTACCTGAAGAATTTTTACCGAGACAAATGGGCACTGGCTCCACATAATTGAAGTTACTTTTAAAAAACTTTTTTCCTCTTATGGTCAGTTTTGAGTTTGTGGGTATTGCAAAGCCCTGTGGAGATCCTCACTTTTCATGGTATTCATCACAGTGTTTATGTCAGCT